GAACCCCTTTGTTGCATATCTTACGTTCTTCCAAATATGTCTTCAACTTGTTTCGTACATTTATTGCTTTCCTAAATGTTTTGGGTTTACCTTCAGAGACTTGTCTTCATCTCATGCTCCTATAGATGTTGTTCTTTTGTTTCTAGATGCAGCCTAGAGTGTATTTGATGGTTTTTCGAGTATCTCTGGTATGTTTTAGAGTTCGTTCGACGTTCTTCCGAATGTCCCTGAAATGTGTTTCTATGTCCCCGAGTTTATTCGATATTTTTTCGAATATCTCTGGTGTGTTTCAGAGTTCATTCGCTGTTCTTCCGAATGTCCCTGAAATGTGTTTCTTTGTCCCCAAGTTTATTCGATGTTTTTCCGAATATCTCTGGTGTTTCAGAATTCATTCGATGTTCTTCCGGATGTTTTTGATGTTTGTTTCTCCTTGTATATTTTCTGATGATTCCTGAAGATCCTGCTCGATCTCTTCGTTTAAAGGAATGACCCGGAAATTCCAGCACTTGTCGTTTACCTGATACTACCGCCGTGTGGATCCTGTTTTCGTTTCATCATAAAGTGACAACTGGCCGTGCCTACATCGGTTGATTCATCACTCTAGAACTCCCCATTGTCGCGTTGTTCCACCAATGCGTCATATTCCCCAGTACAGTTACTCGTCGCGTCCGTCCCCTGTGTCGTCGTGTCGTCTGCATTTATCATTCTCATAATACGCATCATATTAAGGTCATGGCATTGTCAGCATTATAGTTCGTTTCGTTTTGTCCATAACATTGCATATTACTGCGTGTAAGGGCAAAATTTTCGGTTATCTGTATTTAAATCCCTCCACCGTGATTCCTCGAGTCTCCGCCGCTCAAATCATCCGGTGAAGCTATTTAAATAGGGGCAACTGTAATACCTCAAATTTTACCCTTTCATTTTCTATTTTATTATTTTTTAAATTCTGATTAACTTAATAAATTAACCTTTTTTTAAAATCTTTTTTTTAACTAATAATAATTTAATTAAACTTTTTTTAATAACTTTACTAATGTTTTTTTGTTAACCTTTTTTTCTATTTATTTTATTTATTTAAATCATTTTAATTTCTTTTTTACTAACTTTTAGGATTTAGATTAAAATTTAACTTTTTTTCTTTACTTCAAGAGTAATTTTTTATAATATAACCTTTAATTAATTTCTAACACTTTTTTTAAAAAATCAAATTCTAACACCTTTTTAAAAAAATTAAAACTAAATATTTTTTTCATTAAATTAACACCTTTCTTTTTCAAATTAAAATTCTAATATTTTTTAAAAATTAAATTCTAATGCCCTTTTCTTTTTTTTAATTAAGATCTAACTTCCTTTTAAAATTAATTTCTAACAGTTTTTAAAATAATTCTAAATCAACATTCAAATTTTTATTTTTATTTTTATTTTTAAATTCTAACTCTTTTTTTTAAACTTAAAACTCTAACTTCTTTTTATTTTTTAAAAAAACTCTAACTTATTTATTTTATTTTTTAATTTAAAACTTAAATCTTGAATTTTTTTTTAACTTGAAACTCTAATTTCTTTGCTAACATTTTTAAATTTAAATCCCAATATTTTTTTAATCAAATCCAATCACAAAGAATCACAGATGGAGCTAAATCAAATCAATCAGATCATATCATCATCATAAGAAAATCAGATCCAAATATCAGCATCACCATCATTGAATCAAATATGAAATCACCACAAAAATTCATTCAAATCATATCCGAGATTGAAAAAGATTTAAAAATCAAGTATAAAAGGAACGGAAATCATAACAAGAAAAAACTCTTTCCATAAATCCAAACAAACTCCGTCAAAAGTCCTCTAGCCTCAGAACAAAGCATCATCGACCATCATCACTCCGTAAGGATCAAAAAAATATCATAATAATTTTCGTGTTGCTTTTCATGTTTTTCAGGAAAAAGAGATGAAGAAGACAAATCGGCGGCCATGCAAAAGAAGAAGAAGATAACACCTATTTCCTTTTTATTTTATTTTATTTGTGTTTTATTCTAACTAAAAATTGATCTTCTTTTTTAATTCTAACTAAAATCTAAAACCTTTTTCTAACTAAAATCTAAAATATTTTCTTAATTAAATCTAATCTAACTTTTTTAAATTTAAATTAACCTTTCTAACCTTTATTTATTTATTTTTAACACTAACTTTTCTATCAAAAGTCTAACTTTTTTTTTATCTTAAAATTCTAACTTAATTTAAAACTCTAACACTTTTTTTTAAAATTAAATCTAACATATTTTTTTAAATAAAATTAACTTCTTTTTTTAATAAAATCTAATTTTTTAAAATTAACATTAACTCTCTTTAAAAACTAAATTCTAACCATTTTTCTTAATCAAAAATCCTAACTTTTTATAATTAAGATCCTAACACTTTTTTTTTAATTTTCTAACAGTCTTTTCATATTAACCCTAATCTAAAATTTCTAATATTTTTTAATTTATGGCATAAAATTCAAACTTTTTTCTCAAAAATCTCACAAAATCCTATCTCGGTAATTTCTAATTTTCATCGATCCTAATTTTCATCCTTCATTCTTAACATCATTCTTGATTATCCATGAATTTGTTACTATTTTTTTTTTGTCTTTATTTTTATTTGTACATTCTCTAACATTATTGTTGTTATTCACATTTCATTCCTATCACTTGTACATTATTCCATGTTTCAATATCGTCGCTTATTAAATTTCACCGTTTATTATTTCTACTGTAATTCTCCTTTCGAAGGATTAGGTCCAAAACTGTTTGACCGCCGTGTCTATAATCCTCACCTTTAATCTTTTCCTTTTCCAAACCCTGATAGCGCAGGCGTCCCGCCGTGGACATTTTTACCATTTACCCTAGCATTAGGTCAAAGAGTCGCCGTACTCTGTTTTAGGGTTTCCCGTCGTAGAATCCCTAATTTCAACCCTAATTTCAACTAACAATTTCAACGTAGAGATTAGAGTCTCTGCACTCCATGTAAGCGTGTCCTTAAGATACGTTTATTCCCATTGAAACCTTGACCACCGTCAAGATGTTTCTAACCTCCCTTTCGAGGGGAACTACGATTACTCTGATTCCATTCCCTATCTAGGATACGTAGGCAAAAGATGCGAATCTTGCCGAGTAAACTTAGGACTAACCCTTAGGTTTTCTTTTCTTTAACTTTTAACCCTTAGGAATATACCCTTAAGCAAATAATTAAAGCAAATAGTAAAAATAAACAAAAGGTTTCTGTAGAGTACTACAGAAGTTTAGGGTGCTAATACCTTCCCTAAGCTTAACCAACCCCTTACCTAGATCTCTCCCCGCATTGTATTTACGATGCAAAAATAGGTTTTTCCTTTTTTGACTTTTTCCTTCGGATAAATCAAAGAGTGGTTATGAACTAAAGATGTGATTCAAATCACTACTACAAAAAAGCTATTTAATAGCGTTTTTTTTTTTTGCTTTTTGATAGCGCTTAAAAGCGCTATTAACCAAGCTGCTATTGTAAATAAACAATTTTGATAGCGCTTTAAAAGCGCTATTATAGTACTGGTAATTAATAGCGTTTTTCTAAAAGCGCTATTATAGTACCGATATTTAATAGCACTTCATTATAAATGCTATCATTGCCCTATTCCGCGCTACCATACACCTTGTTTATGAAAAAATTTAATAGCGCTTTTTGAAGAAGTGCTATTATAGTCCTTGTATTTAATAGCGCTTTTTGAAGAAGTGCTATTATAGTCCTTGTATTTAATAGCGCTTTTTTTAGAAGTGCTATTATAGTCCTTGTATTTAATAGTGCTTTTTTTAGAAGTGCTATTATAGTCCTTATATTTAATAGCGCTTTTTCAAAAAGTGTTATTGTAGACACTATCTTTAATAGCACTTTCTAGAGAAGCGCTATTAATTCTCTTTATTTATTCTTTTAAGAAAATGAGATTTTATAACTCAATACTACAATAAATTGGAGGATTGAGTAGCAAAATTCATAACAATGTCTGTCCAACAACTGACCATCCTATATCGGTAGATTTGCCCCTATAACCATGTAATACTCAATATCTAAACAAAACTATTTGAGAAAGTAACTAATCTAGTAGATATCAAACTAATCTACAGCAATAGCAAAAGAAACTCTTTACATGATAAAGTCTACCCTGCTAAAAGGTTAACACTTTCGGAGCAGATAGTACCCCATAACACATAACATGAGAAACGGTGTCGTCGAGTTCGTATGGAAAATTTGTTACAGTGTTTCTCGGTGTTGTTGCAGATGGATGTTATTACTATTGTTCCCGAAGCAAAGTTAAGTTGTTGTCGCGGAGTTGAAGGTGTTGCTATTGCAGCTTCCATCGAGTCAGAATCAAGTGAGGTTATTTCCGGTGGTGGTGATTTGAAATGTGGTTTCCATTTGATAGTTGGGGATGCTGGAATTTGAAAGCGCGATTACAAACAACATTGGTTGCAGGTACGATGTCGATTCACTCTATTCTAATTCCAACTAAGAGGAAACTCACCGATATTTTTAGTCGTAATTGCCTCATCTCCAATTTGATCCGAGTGAACCTGCAAAAAGTCAGAACAAATTTGATTACTAAGTTCATTATATTCATGCAAATGAAGAAAAAGAATCGATTAAAATTTAAAAGAGATTTTTTATCTATAACAAGAAACGTAGAAATTAATTCAAAGCTTTGATGTGATTTTTTATCTAAATTACATTTGTGACATCGTAACTCAAAAGGATAACTCACCTAACTGAACATGTTCTGGGGTTAAGGAGGAGAACTGTCCTGCACAGTGGGCATCTGTTCCCTAACAAATGAGAACAATAATCAAACCTAACATAGAACATAAGTTTTCCTATGGAAAATATAAACAATGTTAACTATCACTAACCACGATCCATTGATTGAAATAAACATGAACGGCAAAAATAATGTCCATAGGGGGTTGTAACAGGTTTATACAGCAACTTCAGACAGAGAGTGCAATCAAAGTCATCATTGCGATCGGGTTGTACATAATTGATCCCAACACATAATTTCCACAAGAGCATTTCTGATTGCTAAAAATGCTTATACATAATTGATCCCAACACATGAAAACATTAGTGGAAGTGTCGTCAATGTTCAGTTTGACCATCTCGCAATAACCTCCCATTGAATTCCTTGGGTTGAGTAGCATTTCTTTGCAATTACGAGACCATAGATATTTTTCATCAAGATCTGATAAACTTCGATAAAGTGAGCTAACGCTGCCAAATTTAACTGGTTTCATATTTGAGTCCTTAGCCACAAGTCTTGCAACAGTACCTAAAGGCATGGTTAAGAAGCTCAAGAGAGCTTCAACAAAATCCTTCCCAGCCTCTCCATACACAACTTTGTTCTTTTGTTTGTCCATCATAACTCTCAAGATAACTTTATCACCAGGTTCAACTGATTCAGTTGCGGTGCCAGCTGCCATAGTATAGAAATCGCAGATTACAGTGAGAGTAAGCAACTAGCAAGTAGCAAAACAATATTCCGCCCATAAAAACTTAGTTCCACCACATACATAAAATAAACATCCATTCAAAATCAAACCAAGTCATAATCCAATCTATTAAAACACAACAATTTCACAGATCCAGAATTAATGAAATTCCACACACAACAAAAATCATGAATGAGTGATTATAAGAAAAAGAGAGACCTGAGATTGACATATCAATATGGGCGGAAGAAGACGGTGATAAATTTCCATCTTTGTGCCAAAACACATTCCACTAGAAACAAGTTATTTCACATAGAATAGTATTACAAAAATATACTTACCGCAACATATTTCTCAACAAGAGGGCGGAATACAGAGTCAGTCAAAAGTGCCTTGTCACTTGGCAACTGCAGAAGACCATCCTTCTCACCAGTCAACAACTCACTGTAAATTTATCAATAATGTTGTCAATAAAGAGAACTGAAAACTAGATTAAAGGTGTCGTCATGGATGAAAGACAGTGTTTCAAAAGACTTATGTGAAGTATGAATTGTCAAAAATGAGAGGATTAGAAGTCTATGGTCCCTCAAATCCAGAATGTTCCTTGTGTGCAGCTCCCTGCCAATTACATTAAGCATAACCAAAACAGTCTTCATGTTCATCAATATCATCTAATTTAAATTTCATCTAAGAACATGCTGCATAAGAAAGTAAAATTCATCTAATAATAGTAATGCTCATGTGTTATTTATCACTAATATTTCTCATTGTATCATAAGAGAACCTTGCTTTACTGAAACCATAGCGTGGTAAAATTCAACTCAATATAGGACACACATACCTGTTCCGAGAAGCTGCGAAAAGTTGCTTGTCCTGATTTGTAAAGCGCGATAAGTAAAATTCACTGGAGCACCTGATAAAACCAATGAACTTTCCATCTCTCTTTTCAAAGTTCTTTTTCTATGAACACTATAATACAGTAACATAGAGAGTAAAACAATGGGAATTATCATGCCTAGAACAATTGGAATAATCACAGCCTTTTCCTTAGCACTCCCCATTCCATCAGAAGAACTGTTATTAGACCTTCCTTGTCCTTCTGGTGTCCATGAACTATTCGCTCGAACCTTCACATACAAAGTGAAACTCGTATCTTCAAAACTGCCGAAACTTAAACTCCTCAACACTCAACAATAACACTGGATACGTCTTAATTCTAAAGTGTCGATGCTACCTAAAATATGATAGATAAAAATGAACCATTGAACCTTGAGGATAAGATGTTCAAACTCCTTAAGCCCACTTCCATCATCAGCTGGATTGGCAAGACAACAACCAACAAATTTTTTCGGATGTTTCTTCAAAACACTAACCAACGAACAAATTCATATGAATAATAATAATAATAACAACATATAACATTATAAAATTTAAAAGAATTCATTCATTATATTAAAGATAAACATAACACATTGAGCAGAACAGTTGGTGGTTAATCAGGTTAAGAATAACTTAAAGATAAAATTGTTAACATTTTTCCTATATATAAGTATAAGTAATGAAATGGAGTTTTTTTGGGGAGCCATGGCTCCTATCTATGGTGAAGAATCTCAGGAACTCTGTTCAACCTTTTAAATATATACAATCATTTACATATTCATATATTTCAAGTTAAATTTCATTATATATATTTCAAGTGGTCGAGCTTCGTTTATCTTAAGACCTATATATATTTCATTAAATTTATTAGTTGTTACCAAAATCTATCCTTGTTGACACTAAAGTATCCAGCCGTTACCTTACCCCCAGTATTTCAACTAATGAAAGAATGATACTTTTAGTTGAAAACCAAATTATGATAGGTTTTTTCACAAGGGTAAGCACACCCTATAGCTTGAACACCGACTCGGTCGAAAAACCAGTTCCCGACAGAATCCGCGATCCCCTGCTTGCATAATATAGCTTGATAAAAATTACTATAAAGCAATAGTCAGGAAAAGAATACAATAGTCGGATAAGACTTACTTTATTTCCAATATGAGGAGAACCGCGAGCGAACCATGTATCATGTCTTTCAGATTGGCAGCGAGCGAAACACGAATTAATGAATAATCTGTTTTGGCGCAACCATGAGAATCGTCTTGTAACTCTAAGCATCTGGTTTCGAAAACCTGTTTCATTTTCATTCAAGGTTTAGTTTAGTAACCAAACTGAGAAGAATAACTGTCACAAACTAGAAATAGCTACTCTTTGAAACTTATGATTTATTGATTACCTTGTAGAAATTGTATCTGCGGCCAACTGCATCGCGTGTAGTTTTTTCTGCATTCAAACCAGTTCCATCGATAGTCAGTAAACGGTGGAGCTAGACTAGCTTGAATCTGTTGAAAAATTGAAGCAATCAGAAACAGTTAAGAAACTGGCCGATGAATGACGATGAAAGCTTTGAAACCAACTGAAAGTTGAAGAAACATACCTGCCAAGTATCATAACCACCACCGATCAATAACTAGATTAACAATAACATGGATCAAACACTGACTCTTGTAACTAAACCTCAAAGATTTCAACCAGTGGTAACAACCGTAAGAGTACCTTATACAGAAGGATTTACATTCCCGGTGTTAAACCCTAATTCAACCTCAACAACAACAAAACTCAAAAACGACATCGTTTTGGATGATCCACCTCGAGAATCACTAGAGGTTTTCCGAGGATATGAAATCCCTAAATTTACCCTTCCCGCCTCCAATGTCGCAAATCATCATCGACGACGGCGGTGAGATAACGAAGGTTTGAGCTCGATGGAGAATGGATTTTCTTCATTCTTTCTTTCACGTGTTTCCTCTTTCCTCTTTCCAGCAGTGAATCGTGAATCGATGAAAGAATGCTAGGTCGATGGATAGCGTGAGTAAATTAGAGGAAGAGGAGGATTTTCTTTCCCGTGTTATTTTTTTTAAAATTAATTTTATTATTTATTATATATTTTATAATATAGTCTAATAATAGCGTTTTTTTGAAAAGTGCTATTTTAGTGAAAACTTTTAATAGCGTTTTTTTGAAAAGCGCTATCTTAGTGAAGAATATTAATAGCGTTTTAAAAAAAGCGCTATTAAAATCACATTTTATTTTCTTTTTAATAGCACTTTTTTTAAAAGTGCTATCTTAGTGAAGAATATTAATAGCGTTTTTTTACAAAGTGCTATCAAAATCATATTTTGTTTTCTTTTTAATAGCACTTTTTTCAAAAGCGCTATCTTAGTGAAGAATATTAATAGCGTTTTTTTACAAAGTTCTATCAAAATCACATTTTGTTTCCTTTTTAATAGCACTTTTTTTAAAAGCGCTATCTTAGTGAAGAATATTAATAGCGTTTTTTTACAAAGTGCTATCAAAATCACATTCTCTACACTCTATAATAGCGCCCGACCATAAAGTGCTATTATAGATGTGTTTGTTTCCTTTTTAATAGCACTTTTTTAAAAAGCGCTATTAAATTAGGTGATACAAAAAATCAATTTTGGCTAGTGAATTAATTAATAATTTGATATCTTATTTCCACTGTAACACTAGCTAAGAAGATAGTCCAACAAAATCTAGAAAAATCATTGACTATAACAAAACCATAATAGTTACCACCTAGACTTTTGATTCTAGATGGCCCAAATAGATCCATATGAAGAATTTCAAGAGGTCTCGTAGTTGAAACAATGTTTTTAGATTTAAACGAGATCCTTATTTGCTTCCCCATTTGGCATGCATCATATAAGTTATCCTTGGTGAACTTGATTTTGGGCAAGCCTATGACTAGAACTTTTGAAACTATCTTATTTAGCAAGTCAAAATTGACATGCGTTAAACGTCTATTCCACAACCATGAGTCCTCACTCATTGTCATGAGACATTTATCGCTATTCAATGATACTTCACTTAAATCTAGCATATAGACATTATTTACTCTCAGACCATTAAACACATCCTTCATTTTATCATTGTGTTCAATTAGGCAATAATCTTTTGAAAACAATACCTTGTATCCTTTGTCGCATAATTGACTAATGCTAATGAGATTGTGTTTAAGGCCCTCGACTAGCAATACATCAGAGATGGTAGGAGATGATGGATTACCTACACTACCTTTTCCAAGTATCTCACCTCGGTTGTTGTCTCCATAGGTTATAAATCCCTTCTTCTTTGCCACAAAGTTAATGAAGAGAGATATGTCTCCCGTCATATGTCTTGAGCAGCCACTGTCGAGAATCCATCTTCTCTCGGTAGTCTCAAGACATTGTACCTATGAACACAATTAACAAGAATAGGTACCCAATTGTTTATTGGGTCCTTGGTTGTGAATGAAAACATGGTTGCATTTAGGCAACCATTGATAAACCCCTTTAGGAACCAAAAATCTCCTAAAGCGACATTTAGCAATGGTGTGACTCTTTTTGCAACAATACAAACAAGAAAAGTTAACTCTTGTATCACTTTTGCTATCATGATTCTTTACCACATATGTGTATTTTTGATATGGATTAACTATACTCTTTCTAAAATGTGCTTTATCGATAACAAATGTGATTTTGGATTCTAGAGCTTTGTTAAGTTTGGCCTTGAGATTTCTAACCTTATTTTTCCAAATGTAACAAGTATCACACCCGAAGTTAACTACTCTCTTTCTTATTTCCTCACAATCCACTTTTGTACTTTCCACTATGGAAACCTTTAACACCTCTAGTTTCCTTTCGGAATCAAGAATCGTTTGCTCTATAAGTGAAAAAAAATTTGTTTATTTGAGGCTAGCCTTTTAAAGGCTTCTTTGGCTTCATGATGTAAGGTATCAAAAGCAGTTTGCAATTCGGAATGAGACAATCTAGTAGAATTATCGTATTTTGCATGCCGTACCTTTTTGTTTTTTTCTTTTGATGAGCGAA